ACTCAAATTCGTTACTGGCGATGGACGAATTTTTGTTTCCTATTGAATTCATAATTTTCGAAAATCCTGACCTACCCCAACCCGCCTGAAAATAATTAAAACTTTTTTTCATCCATATTGACATTCAAAGAAAACATTGATGCCAGGTACGGAAGGGGATGCTGTAACTTCCTGCGCCGTTTGAAGCAATTTTTTTTATTTCCGACCTTTGACGACCGTCGTGGGGACGCTGCTTTGTCAGCGGCGGGGAACAAAAAAAATTTGCAAACCTCACCCCTTACGGACTTCACCCCTTGCGATGGGTTCAGTCGCTTGGACGACCATGCGTCGCGGCGCTCTCTACGAGACGCCCCTACTCTGTATGGTCGTAGGGTGGCGTCCAATGTAATTTTGGAAAATTGCTGGTTAACCGAAACGCCCCGGGTGGTTCTGGTTGACAGTACGAAATAATAGGCTGCTTTTTTCGCTCCTCGTACGCACGCCCATACTGTATACATATGTATAGTATAGGGTTGCTCAGGGACCTTGTACCACCTGAAGTTGGCACTGTACGGTTTAACCCTCACAATACGAGCCAACTTCGAGTAATAACGTTATTCTCGTATAACCCTATACGACGCAGTGGACTGTTCGTGTACTATGTACTAACTACCGTATTATCCTACACGGAGTATACGAACCACGAGTCTCCGTAGACAAGCTAAAAAAAAGTGGGAGGTAAAAAATAATACCACAAGCCGCCGCTAGTTGGGAAAAAAAAAATGAAACAAAAAATGAAAAAAGACGTTCCAAGATGTGAGAACCGGAAGTGGAGGTTATTTTTTTTTAAGCATAAACCATTCCCTACCGAGTACAGGTGAGGAGGGTTGATTAAAAAAAAAAAGAAAAAGAAAATACGGTCTCCTACCAAGAGTATATTAAAAAGAAACCCTTGTACCTCGTAATCGTTATCGCTCGCGTGAACCGAGACGTTACAAAATGGATGAACACTTTATATACAGGTCCATTCATTTCTGTATTCCCAAGCGCCGAGGGCTCTGTACAGAGTCAGGATCGATCCTCGCACCATAACCTATAACCGTCCATAAAATGATCTATCCGCTGGGGTCTCGCATCCCTATGCCCGTGTACGAGAGCCACGAGTTCGTAAGATTAGTCGGTAGGTTGGCCGACAGATGGCGACTCACCGGCATATATAGCTATACAGCCTATAACGGTGATGGCAAGCGTAAGATTTTCGGCCCTCTGTATGAGACTGAGAAACGATTGGCTGCCGGTGAAGATCAGTCTCAGGGTGAGCAGGAATCCCAGGGCAACAGCGAGCCCGGTCAGAAGGCCAAGCACGTGGGTCATGTTGCTCTGATTCATACGTAGGAAGTAACGCTGATAGAGCATCTCCACCTGCGGACATACAGAGTCGAAGAGTCATTAGACAAGGCGGAACATTCGCGTGGAGTATTAACGAACTTGTGTGCGGGTGGATTTTTAGGGGATGAAAATTACGGGATCGATATAGGGAGGGCAGAGGGGGTGTAACGAGAAGAAAATTGTCTCGAAACAATATGGCCAGTCGACGGTCGACGTCGAGCCCCTTTTATGAATCTAGGGGATGAAAAGTTGGAGGTTCTTATTACCAACCATCTTGCTCCTCCGTGTCGTATATACGTACGTGCATAATACTGCTGTATCCGCGTGCGATAAAGTGCCGTGTGTATCAACCCCTATTTTTCGAGATTGCATCTCGGCAATTATTTTTCTCATTTGCATAAACGCAAAATGGCGGCTTCTCGTAACACGCGAGTGGTGCATTAGAGGTAAGACGTTTTTGTAAGGGGGAGGGGGGGGGATTTCAAGAGAATTTCTCATAGGTGGTTTTTTTTACATAATTTTGAAAAAAATTTCTTATTTTGTCATATCCAAGTTTTTGGCAAATTTTAAAAGAAAATACTTTTTAAGCAGGCCCCGGGGAGAGATCGATTATTTCGAAAATATGTATAAAACAAAACTAACGCGTACGAATATTCACGTTGCTTGATCCCTGCTTTTGTTTCTGCCTCCCGTAACACGGAGGCAGCTCGCGTAAATTAACGTACGTTTCAGTGCAAAAATTTACGCGTATCCATTATAATTAAGCTCCTGCTCTTCTTCGTTCCTTAGTCCTTTGGGACAAGGGAAACGCGCGGTATATAGAGAACTGTGCAAAATGAAGCTAAATCTGTTCGATATAAATTTCCGATAATTACGTCCTTTAATGCCGTTAATGATCAATTACGATATTGAATGATAATTAAAAAAAAAAAAAAAGTTTTTAATCGTCAAATATTATCCGATCAAATAAAAGTGCCCATCGAGAGCCACCCTTTACGCAAACACACACGACTCACGGAGGGACGATTAAAAAAATCGAAAATCCCACAAGGGATGTTTTGGACGATATTAAATTTTTGTTTTGCAACAAAAAAAAAATATTTAATCCGGACGTTCGACCCTCGCAAGGTCTCATAGAATTTTTTTTTGTACTTCTTTCGATTAGCCCCTTTTCCGAAAAAAAGCCGATAGAATTTTTTTTTCACCTCGATTGGCTTGTTGGCATGTTAAATAATGATAATCAGTCGGGGAAGCCCGAATTTTTTTGTATTTTTTTATTTTGACCAAAACCCACTAAACAGACTTAACATTCTGCAATGACCACACACACGCGCGCGCGCGCGCGCGCGCGGGATACTTTGGGGACCCGAAACATTAACGGGTCAAACCTGCAAGCTAATGTTTTTTAACAAAAAAAAAAAAACTAGAACCTTGGGGTGTGACAGCATTGGAATTCTAAGCTAAACTAACCTAACGAAACCTAACCTAACCTAACAATATAAACAATTTAATTAACAATAAAAAAATATAAACAAATTCGGTGTGAGAGTCACCTCAAACAGTCATGTCTGTTGTCTGTGTGTGTGTGTGTGTTTGTGCATGCGTGCGTGGTGTATGAGTTTGCGCGCGCGTGTGTGTGTGTGTGTGTTAGGTGTAAATTGTGAGAAATTGATGAATCCGTTTTTTGCCTGAAAAAAAATATTTGTACCCAAAAATTTTGGGCTCCCCCGACAAATTTTTACTACTACGGATGGTTGTAAGCGAACTGCAACTGGAAAAAAAAATTTCCGGCCATTTTTCGGAAAAGGGGCTAATCGACAGAATTACTTATTTTTTCTTTCTGTCGTAAATTCCCCCCTTCCCCCCTCGAAC